CATTGAGTCCAAATGGACCATGTTCAGCATCTCCATTGCCGAAGCTGCTTCATTGAGCTGCAGTTGCAAGGTGGTTGGTGCCTGCTGGGCACCCCCCCCCCCCCCCCCCCCTACTTTATCAAAGTAGATGTCTTTCTGAAAGTGCTGTAACTAAGTTTAAGAATATAATCCACCCACTGTTATCATCTTCAATGCCCTGTACCAACACAGAGCAGAGCAGCAATCTGAACGCTACCCCAACAGAGGTCGATTATCTTATTAATAATTTCACCTCCTCACTATGTACGACTCTGGATACTGTAGCTCCTGTGAAAACTAAGGTCTCTAATCAGAAGTACCTGACTCCGTGGTATAATTCTCAAACACGTAGCCTAAAGCAGATGACTCGTAATCTGGAGAGGAAATGGCGTGTCACAAATTTAGAAGATCATAATTTTGCCTGGAGAAATAGTTTGCTGCTTTATAAGAAAGCCCTCCGCAAAGCCAGAACATCTTACTATTCATCACTGATTGAAGAAAATAAGAACAACCCCAGGTTTCTCTTCAGCACTGTAGCCAGGCTGACAAAAGTCAGAGCTCTTTTGAGCCAACCATCCCTTTAACATTAATTATTAATGACTTCATGAACTTCTTCACAAATAGATTTTTTATCATTAGAGAAAAAATTACCAGTAATCATCCCACAGATGTAATATTATCTACAGCTACTCTTAGTACCATTGATGTTAAGTTAGACTCTTTTTCTCTAATTGATCTTTCTGAGTTAACTTCAATAATTACTTCCTCCAAACCATCAACGTGTCTTTTAGACCCCATTCCTACAAAACTGCTCAAAGAAGTCCTGCCATTAATTAATTCTTCGATCTTAAATATGATCAACCTATCTCTAATGATCGGCTATGTACCACAGGCCTTCAAGCTAGCTGTAGTTAAACCTTTACTCAAAAAGCCATCTCTAGACCCAGCAGTCTTAGCTAATTATAGGCCAATCTCCAACCTTCCTTTCATATCAAAAATCCTTGAAAGAGTAGTTGTCAAACAGCTAACAGATCATCTGCAGAGGAATGGTTTATTTGAAGAGTTTCAGTCAGGTTTCAGAGCTCAGCACAGCACAGAAACAGCTTTAGTGAAGGTTACAAATGATCTTCTTATGGCCTCTGACAGTGGACTCATCTCTGTGCTTGTCCTGCTAGACCTCAGTGCAGCATTCGATACTGTTGACCATAATATCCTATTAGAGCGATTAGAACATGCTGTAGGTATTACAGGTACTGTGCTGCAGTGGTTTGTATCATATCTATCTAATAGACTCCAATTTGTGCATGTAAATGGAGAGTCCTCTTCACACACTGAGGTTAATTATGGAGTTCCACAGGGTTCAGTGCTAGGACCAATTCTGTTTACATTATACATGCTTCCCTTAGGCAGTATCATTAGAAGACATAGCATACATTTACACTGCTATGCCGATGACACCCAGCTCTATCTGTCCATGAAGCCAGATAACACACACCAATTAATTAAACTGCAGGAATGTCTTAAAGATATAAAGACCTGGATGGCCGCTAACTTTCTGCTTCTTAATTCAGATAAAACTGAGGTTATTGTACTCGGCCCTGAAAATCTTAGAAATATGGTATCTAACCAGATTCTTACTCTGGATGGCATTACCTTGGCCTCCAGTAACACTGTGAGGAACCTTGGAGTCATTTTTGACCAGGACATGTCCTTCAACGCACATATTAAACAAACATGTAAGACTGCGTTCTTCCATTTGCGCAACATCTCTAAAATTAGAAATATCCTGTCTCAGAGTGACGCTGAAAAACTAGTTCATGCTTTTATTACTTCCAGGCTGGACGACTGTAATTCATTATTATCAGGAAGTCCTAAAAACTCACTGAAAAGCCTTCAGCTAATCCAAAATGCTGCAGCAAGAGTCCTGACAGGGACTAGAAAGAGAGAGCAGATTTCTTCTGTATTGGCTTCCCTTCATTGGCTTCCTGTTAAATCCAGAATTGAATTCAAAATCCTGCTCCTCACATACAAGGTCTTAAATAATCAGGCCCCATCTTATCTTAATGACCTTGTAGTACCATATCACCCTATTAGAGCACTTCGCTCTCACTCTGCAGGCCTACTTGTTGTTCCTAGAGTATTTAAAAGTAGAATGAGAGGCAGAGCCTTCAGTTTTCAGGCCCCTCTTCTGTGGAACCAGCTTCCAGTTTGGATTCAGGAGACAGACACTATCTCTACTTTTAAGATTAGGCTTCAAACTTTCCTTTTTGCTAAAGCATATAGTTAGGGCTGGACCAGGTGACCCTGAATCCTCCCTTAGTTATGCTGCAATAGATGTAGGCTGCCGGGGATTCCCATGATGCATTGAGTTTTTCCTTTCCAGTCACCTTTCTCACTCACTATGTGTTAACAGACCTCTCTGCATTGAATCATATCTGTTATTAACCTCTGTCTCTCTTCCACAGCATGTCTTTATCCTGTCTTCATTCTCTCACCCCAACCGGTCGCAGCAGATGGCCCCGCCCCTCCCTGAGCCTTGTTCTGCCGGAGGTTTCTTCCTGTTAAAAGGGAGTTTTTCCTTCCCACTGTCGCCAAAGTGCTTGCTCATAGGGGGTCATATGATTGTTGGGCGATCGTGGCTCAAGAGTTGGGAGTTCGCCTTGTAATCGGAAGGTTGCCGGTTCGAGCCCCGGCTTGGACAGTCTCGGTCGTTGTGTCCTTGGGCAAGACACTTCCCCCGTTGCCTACTGGTGGTGGTCAGAGGGCCCGGTGGCGCCAGTGTCCGGCAGCCTCGCCTCTGTCAGTGCGCCCCAGGGTGGCTGTGGCTACAATGTAGCTTGCCATCACCAGTGTGTGAATGTGTGTGTGAATGGGTGGATGACTGGATATGTAAAGCACTTTGGGGTCCTTAGGGACTAGTAAAGCGCTATATAAATACAGGCCATTTACCATTCTCTGTATCTATGAAGCGCCTTGAGGCGACTTTTGTTGTGATTTGGCGCTATATAAATAAAATTGAATTGAAATTATATTGGTTTCACTGGTAAAAATAAATAATTGAAATGGGTATATATTTGTTTTTTGTTAAGTTGCCTAATAATTATGCACAGTAATAGTCACCTGCACACACAGATATCCCCCTAAAATAGCTAAAACTAAAAACTACTTCCAAAAACATTCAGCTTTGATATTAATGAGTTTTTTGGGTTCATTGAGAACATGGTTGTTGTTCAATAATAAAATTATTCCTCAAAAATACAACTTGCCTAATAATTCTGCACTCCCTGTATTAATGATTAACAGCCCATTGTTCATTAGTATGCAAACATACTCTTTATAAGATTGGAGAAACCTGCAGTCAGCTGAGACTGAAGAAGTCTCTGGGATGAGTTACGAAACGTTTGTCCCACTGAAAACGCTACGTCCAGATGAACAGAATCAACTTCTGGGATTTCCTTACCTGGATGATTGAGCATGCATCTAGATATTACCCACAATTACTTAGGTACACGGGAACAAAGGGACAGCAAGTCAGTTTCTTACAGAGGAAGAAAAAAAAATTTATACTGCAATTAATTTTAAGCAGTGTGTAATTATTCAGAAAAAAACCCCGGAAAGATACATCACATCTTTCTACATTTTATTTTTCATAGGATTCAGTTAATCTTTTACATACTGTCTAGATAAAATGACTACAATTTATGACTTACAATAAAAATATTTTTACTGCAACATAAAAAAAATGTAGGTTTGTCTCTTCATGGAGCAAAACACACTCACATCCTGTAAGAAAACACAGACCACTGAAAACTTTACACATGGGTAAGAAAATATTTAATTTTCCACATACTGCCTGTTTAAAAATGACACAAATTTATCAATTTACCTTTTTTTTTACTGTAACATTATAAATTGCAGGAGGGGTTGTGTCTTTGTGGAGCAAAACAGACTCACACAATATTGTACGGCAATAGAGCCCATTTAAAACACATTTCATGTGAGTTACAACAGAAGTGGCGCAGCACTGACACTGATAATTACCTCACGATGAACAGCCAAATAAACAGTAACAGGTCTGACAGTTTGATCCAGAAGGTGAACTGTTCTGACATTTTGCTTTTCTTGTGATCAGATGATGGGAGTAATGTTTGCTCTGCATGCTGTTTGTGGACACAGCCAGTGAAGTTTAACTTGCTAAACTTGGAACAAGTTGAATTGTGAAGCCTGATCTCAAGCTTTTTAAGTTTGACGCAGCATCCAGAAGAACTTTTGTTCAAACCCCCGTTTCTCCCACTGTGTTCAAATGAACCCTGTCAGGGTAATGTCTAGGGCTGCCACGATTAGTCGACTAGTCACGATTACGCCGACAACTAATTTAATAGTCGACGCGTCGTTTGAAGCTTTGCAAGATCCCAAAAGACGCAGGAATAAGTAGTAGGATTTAAGAGTGTAATAACGGACTGAAACAGAAGATGGCAGCACTGCATGTACAAGGATGACAGCTGCCATTAAACCCCGAAGAAGAAGAAGCTGTGTCCCAGAATTCATAGCACAGCTCAGTTTCCAACAATGGCGGCAGCTAGTCAGTTTTATTCTTATCATTCTTTCTGGGTCACAAAATAAACGTTTAACATATTTTCAGGCGAGAATGTAGCTGTGTAAACTTCAAATATCTGCTCACTTTATCAAGACACCACATTTTTTCAAAAGCTCGATAGCGAACCGGTGAGAACACCGGACTCCCGGCAAATCGTTTTTCAAACCCACCGGCGTCTCTCACTACTCAGGTTAAACATGATATATAAGTCACTTAGATAACTTAAAAATGTTACTGTTCGGGGTTTTTTTGTATTTTATTTGTTCCTGAGTAAATCGGTTTGGCTGAGATTAAAGTTATAGTTTTTACACAGCTGAATAAACGTCAAGCAGACAGCTGATTATCAGAAGTGTGAGATGCTCGAGAATTTACTCCGGTGTCCTGTTATATTTTAGATAGCAAGGAGTTTATTAAACTTCACCAAAACAATCTGCACATTTCATTAAAATTTAATAAACTATCACCTTGTCAGAGGAGGACACTTTGTGGGTTTTCTGATGCCTCAATAGATTTGTTTTATGGATGAAAGACTTTCCACACTGACCACATACAAATGATTTAACTCCAGAGTGGGTGAGCTGATGTGATTTTAAGCCAGTCATGTAAGTAAAAGCCTTTCCACACTGACCACATACAAATTGTTTAGCACCAGAGTGGATGAGCTGATGTGATTTTAAGCCAGTCATGTGAGTAAAAGCCTTTCCACAGTCACCACATACAAATTGTTTAGTACCAGAGTGGGTGAGCTGATGTGATTTCAAGGCAGCAATGTGTGTAAAAGACTCTCCACACTGCTCACAGCTGAAAGGTTTATCTCCACTGTGGATGAGCTGATGTGATTTTAAGCCAGTCATGTAAGTAAAAGCCTTTCCACACTGACCACATACAAATTGTTTAGCACCAGAGTGGATGAGCTGATGTGATTTTAAGCCATTCATGTGAGTAAAAGCCTTTCCACAGTCACCACATACAAATTGTTTAGTACCAGAGTGGGTGAGCTGATGTGATTTCAAGGCAGCAATGTGAGTAAAAGACTGTTCACACTGCTCACAGTTGAAAGGTTTATCTCCACTGTGGATGAGCTGATGTCTTTTTAAGTTACCAACGTAAGCAAAAGCCTTTCCACACTGATCACAGCTGAGAGGTTTATCTCCACTGTGGATAAGCTGATGTACTTTTAAATTGCCCATCTGAGTAAAAGACTTTCCACACAGATCACAACTGAATGGTTTCTCTCCACTGTGGATGAGCTGATGTGTTTTTAATCTACCAATCTCAGTAAAAGCCTTTCCACACTGATCACAGGTGAAAGGTTTAACTTCACTGTGGACGCCCTGATGTCTCTCTAAGTGATCTCTATAATGAAAAGACTTTCCACACTGATCACAGACAAATGATTTACCTCCAACATGGATCTTATAATGTCTCTTTAAGTGACCTTTGTGAGTAAAAGACTTCCCACACTGATCACAGCATAAAGCTTTAAATGCAGTGTGGAGGCGCTGATGTACTTTTAAGCTGCATCTCTGAGTAAAGGTGTTTCCACACTGATCACAGCTGAATGGTTTAACTTCACTGTGGACGAGCTGATGTGCTTTTAAGCGGTTACTCTGAATAAAAGACTTTCCGCACTCACCACAGCTGAATGGTTTCACACTGCTGTGGATCAGCTTATGTATCTTTAAATGATATTTCTGAATAAAAGACTTTCCACACTGATCACAGCTGAATGGTTTCACATCGGTGTGGATCAGCTGATGTCTTTTTAAGTTGTTACTGTGAGTAAAAGACATCCCACACAGATCACAGTTGAAAGCTTTAAATTTCGTGTGGACGAGCTGATGTGATTTTAAGTTGCATCTCTGAGTAAAGGTCTTTCCACACTGATCACAGCTCAAGCTTCTCTCCTCCCTGTTGGCGCGCTTGCGTCTTCTGGGCTGCTTCATAGCAGGAAAAGTCTTTTCCACAGGGATCGCCGCTGGCTCATCTTTACTTGCTGGTGCTGGATGTTTTTGGTTGATGTCATCCATGTGCTCAGGTTTTGGCCTGCTTTCACTTCTTTCTCCTGTAATGACAAAGAACCCAAACAGTGACATCAGGTCTATATCTTCAGCTCATCCACAAGTGCCCCCTCTTACCTCACAAAGATAAACAGTTTCACCATCTGCCAAACGTCTCAGGTGCCTGGGGACGCTATGCTGTGGTAAACATTTGAAGTGAGTGTAGAATGTTTAGCTGATTTAGAGTTTAGAAATGTGTTATCATAGAATGTAGAACTATTGTAGAGACACTGCCCTTAAAGTAATAAAGGCCTCACTGTGTTGTGAACTTAGGAGTAGATTGTAGAAGGCTTCTCCCCCACTGAGTGGAAATTCCCCAGAGGATGTTTTAGGGTGGGGGTTTCAACATTGTAACTGGATAACTGTGGTCTGGAAGTGAGAGGGGTTTTATGACCTCTAGGGAGTTACCTACACCCACAGTGTTTTAACTGTCACGCACACACATCCACACGCACACTCACTTGAAGGAAATTTCCGTCCCCGGTTTCCTCCAAGGCGTGAGCGATAAGCAGAGTTTTGTCCTTTCCTTATAAGACTCCTAATTATTCAAAGTAACACTCTGGTATGCCGTTCAGCTGGGTTAGTTACGATATCGGGAGCAGTTAGGAGAACAAAGTGATACAGAGACTGTTCAGATTGCTTTCCCAGAATCAACTCAAAGGTTTATTTGGTACACAGCAGTTTATATAGAGAAAAAAAGGTTCGTGTGTCAGCTTTCCCAGTTCAAACCGGTACAGACTAAATAAGGAAACGTCTTCCTGCCTTCTGAGCAAAGTATCCCTTGTGTAGTTTATCAGTTCAGCTACAATTTATGATCATCCCAGCAAAATACACTCCTAGACATAGAATACAGAGTTCTTTCATTAGTGAATTCTGAAACAAACCACCTGGCCTTTAACGAGCCTTTTCCAGGAGATAAAGAAAAAGGGAGGATGGGAGTAAGGAAGTGGTCTCGTCTCTGTGGTGTTTTCGACCTTGGGGTACCAGCCTGTGAGTCTTACACATTAATTCTTGGGTCACAGAGAAAGAGAAAAACAACTAGTAAATGGGCCTTATTGAGTAACAGTTTCTCTGCACAACATCACCACAAAACATTATCCTGTAAATGCTACCATGGTATCAAAATATCACAACATCACTCATGTGCACACAGTCACACACGAGCACTCATATAGGCACGCGGGAACGCGCACATGTAGGCATTCATGTGCTCGTGCACATAGACACAGACACAGAGTTTGCAGCACACCGTAGGGGGTTTTATGACAGCCTCTATAAAGCTGGCTGTAACTAACAAAGGGGTGAAGATTTTTGCAGAGGGACATCGGCCTCGTCTTCCCTTCTAGAAGTGCATGCTTAAATGAAGATGAATAAAGATTTTGTGAAAATGACTACTGAGTCCGGAGCCATCTCTGGATGCTCGAGGAATAAAAAGAACCGGGGTAAAACTGATTTCACAACATGAGCTCATTTTGGGGATAAAAGTAGTAAAAGTTCAACTTGTGAATAAAATTTTGGCTTGTGTGAGTTTTTTAGTTTTTACTTTGTTCAAATTTGAAGAACATCACACTTACAATGTGCAGTTCAGGTTGTATGTGTGAGAGCTGTACAACCAAATCCACACTGGCTCAGATTTGCCTCTGATTAACCACGAGGGTGTCACAGTTATCAAAGTCTGCAGACACTGTCAGCTGCAATCAACACCTTTTATTCTAATGCACAGGTGAGTTATAATGCATCTCCACTAGAAGATGGTCCCCTGTTATCTACTTTTTCACAGGCAAGCGTGGGTGAGAGTCTACAGCATTCTACCCCCCAAGGACACGTAGTCTAATGCCTTTATTTTTCATGACCATGTCCACTTAATACTGCACTATATGGTTATATGGCATTTTAGTTAATATACAGCATAGAATTGAGGCACTTCAAATATTTTCATCTCAACACCTCCTCCCTGGAGATAAGGAGTCTCACTATCTGCCTAATGTCTCATGGTGCCTGGGAGTGTCAGTCCAACTCACTCACAATACCCATCTGTGTGTGGAATAACATATTTGATGTTTTCCTATATGTAGAACAAAGTCGCACAAAATGTACTATAGATATTACTAAAGTGATATTGTCAAAACATATGATCAACACATAAAATAAAGAAATGTCCATCACAAGAGTTAGCAGCTTACACAAGAACAGAAAGAATATGAAAGAGAAGTGGAAAAGGAAAACAGAGGATTTTTAATGAAGTCATGATCACTCCACAGACATCACCTTCATATGAAGGGAAACAGAGAGTGTAACTCAAATGATAAAACATTAATGTACTGAGGCAGACAAACAGAGAGGCTAAACAGAAGGCAGAAATCAAACCAAAATGAGCTAAGAGAGAGAGACCCTGTAGAAAATGATAAAGTTAAGCAACCAGTGTAGTTATAACTGACTTACTCTGGATCTCCTCTCAGACTCAGGAGGGGGCGAGCGGGCCGGCTTTGTAGTTGGAGTCGGACCAGCAGAGACAATGGGCTCACTGACCTCCACTCCCCAAGTCAGTCACCACGAGGACAAGTTCTTTGTTTAGAGATGATTTAATCCAAGCTCACCAACAACATCATTCAGCTGTCCTCGTCAGAACTGATAAACTAAAAGCAGTAACATTTAGAAACGTCAGTTTACTAAACATAAAAATATTGCTCTTTTAGCCTCGCTCACATGTTCTGTAAAGATTAAATGACTTAAATCATCACGTGGTTTACAAAAACACATTGTTAATCTCAGCAAATAAGTGCGCATCCAGAAATAACTGTTTTATCTCGTTTGACATGGAAACTTAAAATTACAAAGAGACACTGAACGCACCTTCCTACCAGCTGTAACCTAACAGGAGAACGTACGTTCGTCTTCGCAGCTGCGATACATACCTCACAAAAAGCCGTTCATCAATTAGATTTAACACGACGCTTCTCCACAATACTTTGATGCGGGTTCTTCAAAAAGTGCCCATTTTTAAAACGGCGGAAAGACACAGCAAAGAGCACAGTACGCACACTCCTCCTCCCTCTTCGTCTGCTGCCCTGCTTCTTCTTCTTCTTCAGTTTTATTGGCGGTTTGCAAACAATAAAATGGTGCGTTACCGCCACCAACTGGTATGGAGTGTCGACCCTCAAGCCCTACCCAAATGTTTACTCTTTTAAGCTACTGATGTGAGCAAAAGACTGTCCACACTGATCACAGCTGAATGGTTTCACACTGGTGTGGATCAGCTGATGTGATTTCAAGCTACCAATCTGTGGCTGCGCTGATGTCTTTTTAACCTATCAATCCGAGTAAAAGACTTTCCACACTGATCACAGTTGAAAGCTTTAAATCCAGTGTGGGCGAGCTGATGTCTCTTTAAATGACCTTTCAGAGTAAAGGTCTTCCCACACTGATCACAGCTCAAGCTTCTCTCCTCCCTGTTGGCGCGCTTGCGTCTTCTGGGCTGCTTCATAGCAGGAAAAGTCTTTTCCACAGGGATCGCCGCTGGCTCATCTTTACTTTCTGGTGCTGGATGTTTTTGGTTGATGTCATCCATGTGCTCAGGTTTGGGCCTGCTTTCACTTCTTTCTCCTGTAATGACAAAGAACCCAAACAGTGACATCAGGTCTATACCTTCAGCTCATCCACAAGTGCCCCCTCTTACCTCACAAAGCTGGTCCATGAAAATATTGTCAGGCATAAACCGGTCCGTGGTGCAAAAAAGGTTGGGGACCGCTGGTCTACAGCTTTCTACCCCCCAAGGACACGTAGTCTAATGTCTTTATTTTTCAGGGCCATGTCCACTTAATACTACACTATACGGTTATATGGCATTTTAGTTCATATACAGCATAGAATTGAGGCACTTCAAATATTTTCATCTCAACACCTCCTCCCTGGAGATAAGGAGGAGTCTCACTATCTGCCTAATGTCTCATGGTGCCTGGGAGTGTCAGTCCAACTCACTCACAATACCCATCTGTGTGTGGAATAACCTGTGAAATACATATTTGATGTTTTCCTATGTGTAAAACAAAGCCACACAAAATGTACTATAGATATTACTAAAGTCATTTTGTCAAAACATATGATCAACACATAAAATAAAGAAATGTCCATCACAAGAGTTAGCAGCTTACACAAGAAAAGACGTCAGAAAGAATATGAAAGAAGAAAAGTGGAAAAAGAAAACGGAGCATTTTTAATGAGGTCATGCTGAGCCTCTTGTCGCGATTGTTTTATGTTGGGCTGAGAACAAACAACCAATACTCAGATCAGGTCCAGTACACAACAATTATGTATTAAGCACATATGTGGGAGACGTGCACGATACCACCCTCAGTGTAATCCGGGAGATCTTAAAGAGGAAGCACAAGCACTTCTTTATTTAAAGGGTTGTACACGCCCCCTTGAACTTTCCCACATTTTGTCACATTACAGCCACAAACATGAATCCATTTTATTTTTATTCCACGTGAAAGACGAACATAAGGTGGTGTACACGTAAGAAGTGTAATGAAAATCAAACATGATTCCACACATTTTTTTACAAATAAATAACTGAAAAGTGGGGAGTGCGTAATTATTCAGCCCCCTGAGTCAATACGTTGTAATGATAATAATGGATTGCATTTATATAGCGCTTTTCAAGGCACCCGAAGCGCTTTACAATTCCACTATTCATTCACTTTCACATTCACACACTGGTGGAGGCAAGCAGGTTGCAGCCACAGCTGCCCTGGGGCAGACTGACAGAAGCGAGGCTGCTATACCGCGCCATCGGCCCCTCTGGCCGGTAGGGTAAAGTGTCTTGCCCAAGGACACGACGACCAGGACAGAGAGATCGAACCGGTGACCTTCTGGTTACAGATGCGCTTCCCAACCGCTGAGCCATGGTCACCCCACCTTTGTAGAACCACCTTTTTCTGCAGTTCCAGCTGCCAGTCTTTTAGGGTATGTCTCTACCAGCTTTGCACATCTAGAGACTGAAATTTTTCCCCATTCTTCTTTGCAAAACAGCTCCAGCTCAGTCAGATTACATAGACAGGGTTTGTGAACAGCAGTTTTCAGATCTTGCCACAGATTCTCGATTCGATTTAGACACCAGACAGGTCAGAGATAAAATTATTGAAAATTTAAAGCAGGCTTAGGCTACAAAAAGATTTCCCAGGCCTTGAACATCCCACGGAGCACTGTTGAAGCGAACAGTGGGGCTGAATAAATACGGACGTCCCACTTTTCAGTTATTTATTTACAAGCAAAACACTGAGTATAAGCCATCTAATTTATCTTGTAATTTAGCAAGGTTCCATTTATCCTCTTCAATTAGTGTCAATTTGAGAGATTGATTTTTCTTCCTCTAATCTTTTCGATTTCACATTAAGGCTGCCAACCTTCCTTAAATATTTGTCAATTTCAAATTTTAATAATTCCCAGTTATTTGCAAACTTTAATTTTTCTCGAGCTATAGATCAATAGTTTGAGATCAGTTCTTTAAGATCCTTTTTCACATCATCTTTCTCTAAAAAAGAGCTGTTGAATTTCCAATATGTAGATTTAACAACAGAAGATTTAGGGGAAGTTAAATTAATTTTAATACGGCTTTATGATCTGTTGCTGGCGAAGGCCACCTACATCTATGCTATCGCTATCAAAACTTTCCAAAACTAACCAAAAGGTTGCACTAAGTAAACGTTTTGGAATGAGGATATTTGAATCTCCAAATGTCTATGAGTTTAAGGCGTACTATAACAGCTTTCAATGTAGTAGTAATTCTTTTTTTTTAACACTTGTAGTTTTCCAATTATCATACATAGCATTCCTATTATTTTACAGAAAACCACAAAACAACAATCCCACAGATCATAAAGACAGATAATACCAAGACGGGAAAAGGGAAACAAAAAACAAAACAAACAAACAAACAAAAAGCACAGCAACAACAGCAAAAAAAAAGAAAAAGAAAGGGGGGAGGGGGGTGCACCTCTCTATTGTTTTTACAGGACTGTTCTAGGGCAAACAAAAACACTGAAGATTCCAGTTCCAGACCGGATAAATTGTTGACGTATGTTAACAGAGGGTTCCACGTTGTGTGGAATTTGCCGATGGATCCGTCCAGAGTACATCTGATTTTTTCCAGTTTGACATTTTGCATAACATCCGTTATCCAGCGGTGGTGTGATGGAGCAGTAGTAGACTTCCATTTAAATAAAATCAGGCGTCTCGCTAATAATGACAAAAAGGCAATAACCCTCTGTAAATGGGCAGGGGGAACAGAAGTCACAATACCAGAGAAACAACCAAAAATTGTCACCAAGGGGGAGGCGAGATGTTATAGGCATAGGCTTTAGAGATGACTTCAAAAAATGATGACCAGAAAAGAGCAATTTTCGGACAGGACCAAAACATATGAAGGGAAGTAGCTGGAGTCTGTTTGCATCTATCACACGATGGGTCTATGTCTATGTTCAGAAATATTTTTGCTAGTTTAACTTTTGAAAAATGTAACCTGTGTAACACTTTGAATTGTATTAGGGAGTGTCTTGAACATATAGAAGACGAATGGACCCTGGTAAGAGCCATATCTCACTCTTTGTCAGACAGCTGGGCACTGTCGTGGAAAATTTAACAATAACCTGCAACACACCCAGCAAGCTTGATTTGAAGTGGGTTTAATAAACACATTGCGATGTGGAGAGAGCATCCCAGTGAAACACCGGGACCATCTCCGGATTGTGGCCACCGCCCACACAGACAATGAACATTCCACAACCTCACATGTTGGCCCCTCTCATGGGGGCTATACCTCCTCCCTCACAGAGAGAATTATGACCTTGTTTTCTGCTTGGCTGTCACCTAAGGATTTACATCCCTGATAAGCAGAAGGAGTCTCACTATCTGTTTAATGTCTCCCATTACATTGGCCTCACTGTGTTAACTTTCCACATGCATGTAAACTAGTGACAGGAGTGCTCTTACTATAGTAAAGTGAGAAAGTGATATTACTATAACTAATGTGATATGATTAAATATGTGATAAATACATGAGAAAAGAAATCTGCCACCACAGCACCCAAATCATTCTCCCACTGTTCTCGAATGTATGAAATAGACAGGTTATATGTCTTAGTTACATCAAGCTGCTCTCTCATAAGAACCCGTTGTTAAGATAAGGAAGTTTTTAGGTGTGTGATATATTTCCCACTTTATCATTAAATCTCCCAATTTATTAACTGTTTCTGTAAAAGACCCTCTTCCCCAGTGTTATTAGGGATTGAGGCACACATGCCTCACCAAACATCACACACTCCTTTGTGCCATTTGCTTTGCCCTGTCCAGATGTTTGCCATCAGGGACAGTGAATGTCCGAACCTGTAGGCAAATGAATAGCACAAACATATACTAACACTGATGTTAGTGCTTCTCGAGTTTTAAAGTAAAACCCAAAAGTAGCCATGAGTTTCCACACAGCCAACACTTCTGAGCTACATTTTGCAACAGAATTATAGATCTTTCCTCTCTGTCTATGCAGCGTACTGTACTCTTTACTATTGTAGGGCCATCAGCCCGTTTAAAAGGTGTGAACCCTCTCCAAGGCATTTACAATTATCTTTACTGTGCCCACATCAGTGATTGGGGAAACCAAAACAACCACAACTCTGGAAGAACGACTTCCTTCTTTAGTGCTTCCAGCATGTTTGAGGCCGATCAAAACCCCTCAATGAAATGGGATAAACCAAAAATCCAATCTTTACGGTGTCAAATGTGTAAAAATTGAGTACACATGTCAAAAGAACTCACAACTGTTGTTACTATTGTTAAATTCTCCCAATTCTTTCGATCTTTGGGCTGAAGGACGGACAATATTCGGTGTACAAATGCTCAATCAACAATCTTTTATTACATACAATTGAACACTTTATGAGCACAAACCATCCGGATGGGGAGACATGCATGAAGAGGGTCACAGCAAATCTCAAACTGGTGGAGGGTTACTCAAACTCTTATAGCCTCTAGTGGCCCGCACCTAGTCGTAAAAACCTAAACATTCACATTCTTTCTAACTCCTAGCGAGCCTGACTTATGGCCTTGGCTCCCTGTTTTGTCTGCCTTCAACAACGGTGGGGGTGTAGTCTCCCGTGGAATGTGCTCTCTGTCTCCTCCACTATCAGAAAAAGCAAGGACCTGACTCTCTGAAAACCGTGTTTCTTATAACTCAGCAGTATAATGCATCATAAACAATATCATTCATTC